ATCGTCCGCTTTATCCTCTTCGTCAAATGACCTAAGCTCTCGTTCCAATCGATGGCGGGAGCTTGACTCTCTTCTCCCTTGCGTTGCCGCTTGCCGACCCCCTCTCTCTGGGCTGGCGTCAGAAGCAAGCAGTGGGAACAGAGTAATCCGTCAGCAATGGAACGCGGGGGAAATTTGGCCCCTTTTGCTCTGCAGGGTATCGATGCAGAGTGAGGCAGCAGAAGGATGGGTCGCGCGGCAATATGCAGAATTGCGAACTTGAGCGCTTCGGATCCGGGCAGAGGAAGCCTTGGTAAAGGCAGGGAAGGATGTGGTAGGCAGACAACAAACAGACAGGCCGAAAGTAGCGCCTGTTGAGGATGAAGCTGGAGGTATTGGACCCTCTTTTAGGCACTTGCGAAAGCGGCCTGGTGAGGGGCTCGACGCTGTTTGTCGGGCGCAGGGGCAGCCTTTGATGCACCTCCCCTTGCCACAGGCGACCGAGCAGTGCCCTGCGGTTTAATTTGCTTGCCAAACTGGGATTGAGTGCTGTATGCTGCTAGATTAGAGCGGCGTGGCGAGTGGGCGAACTGGGTGAACTATGTGCCCAAGACTGGTTACCCTAGGAGCTGCTGGGCTTGTGCAGACGCCTCATTGCACACACACCCACGGGTATTTTTGGCCTTGGGTACGGCCGGCGTTGATAACGCAGGTCGACTGCTGTTGGGTACCCGAGCTGTCAAGCTCGGACTCGGGGAATTAGCTGCGGGATAGGGATTGCTCTTGCCCTATTTTGAGCTCGGCCTGGATCGTTGAGCGCAGCGTCCGGTTCGACCCCCTTTTTTCCCCTTGCTATTCGACTTGGGGGCCGCGCCTCGAATTACTCGCACGCCAGAAGGGGTGCGATCGGACTTGGTTGGTGGGCGGCGATACGACTCCCGTGCCTGATGAGCGGATGGGTACTATCAAGAAATGGGAGGTGGCGGCTTCGGGTGCAGATATGTTCTCGAAACGCAGAGGCACGGCTGGACTTGGCTGGCTGGCTGCTAACGTTCTCGGTCGACTACCGGCATGGATAGAAACGGTTCCTTGAAAGTTTGAACAACAGGAGATAGATCAGGTTGAATTCAACACAGTGCATGGGAGCAGCACCTAGACTAACCTACCTACCGAAACGCCCCAAAGCCACCAGGTCATCTCCCCGCGAGCCGCACGCACCGCCAGCTCCTCCCGCCTCACCTCAACCCTCTTATCGCTTATGGTCAGTGTGCGGCGTAGACGCCGCCCGGGCTGCTGAAGTTGGGGTATCCAAGACCAGCAGCCCAAGCAGCTTGTTTTACACAGGTCATACGTCGGATGCTTGGATCCATCACCACCATTTACTTGCCCTCCTTGGACAGCCGCCTATCTTCCCGGACCCGGCATAGCCATCTCCGCGCGCGCCGGTGGCAATCTCTGCTTGCGCCAGCGTGGCCAGTCCGCTCCCCACTGCTGCCTACTACGCCTACTACCAGGGTGCTGGGTAGCAGACCCTCAATGCGACTCCTTGTCGTCGACGCCTGCTGCCCCTCCAAATAAAAACCCCCACTTGCCGTCATCACGCTAGCCTTACCCATCGCCGGCCGAGATGTGCAAGCTTCGAGCCATGGCACAACATCATGTCCTTCATGTCACACCAGGCCCGTGTAAAGTCCCTGCAGGGCCCCCTTCCACCTGCCCCAACTACCCGGTTCGTTCTGAGGCATACGCAAAACGAACTCGTCCAGCACAGGTCTGAACCAGATCGCCTGCATGTAGGTATGTAGCAAACAACCTTCGACGCGGTGGGTTCTGGAGCTCAAGTTCCACGCGACGCCGAGGGGTGTGCAGGAGCTCTGACAGCTTTCTGGGCAGCCCAGGGTCTTTGCCCCGCCCAAACTGCTCCATCGAATCCGGTTTTCATGGCTTCTTGAGTCGACCTCAGCTGGGGGTGGCATTGCGGCAGGCCATTGGCTTGTCAGAAAGGACCAGGGCCGGCCGGCATGCTCCTCTTTGGCGCAGAGATCCACTAGCGAGCCTATTAATAGCCGTCATGGCCCGTGATCGCCGGCTGGTGTGTGAGCGAGGGGTTGAGGAGCCGGACATTGGTTCCATGTCAGGCAAAGATGAAAAACAAAAGGATGCTGAAAGAAAGGGATTCGCCACAACAGATCGTGGCGTATTTTTGCCGACTACCGATCCTCTTGGTGGCTGGGCATCGAAAACCCCGACTTTGGGCCACGCTGCGTGAACCCTTGAAGATGTGGGTAGGAGGTGCCATACAAACTACCTAAGGCTTAAGACTATCGAATACACCTCCTCGAGAGACAAAGGATGTCACGCCAGCCTTTGTAGAAACATACAGGTGCCAGACTCGATAGTAGCCATGAGAACGACTGGGACAAATCAAACTAACCCCGATGTTGAGGAAACCGCTCCCCACAGGGTCAGGCAGGGGTAGGCAGGGGTAGGCAGCCGGACAATAATCGAGGAGGGCCATGTCGGAAATGAGTGAAGGGAAAAGAACGCGCCCAAAATGATTAGTCCTCGCGTCTTGTTGATAATGCGCCACCCGGGACCAGTGTCCTGGTAGAGGGAAGGCTGGCAGGAAGACCTCAGATCATCAGTCCCATGATATCCGCCTTGACCACGTCCGGCTCGTAGTACTGTATCGAGCGCTCGTCCTTGCGGCCTTGCTGGCTGAGCTGGATAACGGGCTCGGCAAAGGTTGTCGGGTAGACGAAGGGCGGCTGGAACAGGCTGTCGATCAGGCCGCGACATCGAGGTACAATCAGCTTTCACTCTCCCCACGGCCGCTAGGAATTGTGGGGCGCGCCCGGCGTCAAACTTACACAGTGTCCCTGTACCGACGCCCCAGCGAGAGGGTGAAGTTGTCGGCGGCGTGGAAGCTGTTGATCTTCATCTCGAAGAACGTCGTGGTCTGGTGGTTGATCTGGCAGACCGAATAGCCCTCCGCGTCGAACGAGTTGCGGTCTCCCGGCGCCAGCGTCACGCTGTCCCACTTCCACGAGTACTTGCAGGAGCAGGCCGAGACGTTGTTCTCCCGCACCGAGTTCGGATCAAACCAGTCGACTGGAGACACCCACAGGTGGTCAGTACCAAGTCCATAGAAGCGGGCAGCTAGCTCCAGGTTCGACCAGGAATTTGGGCCCAACGAGAAGACACGCGGGGATGGGCGTACACTTCATCGTGCACGAGTAGAGGTCCTCGTCGCGGCTGCGATCGCACTCGTAGCATAGGTTCTTGAGCTCGAATGGCTTGAAGTCGAACTGGGCGTCTGGAAGCTTGATCATGTGCGTGCCACGGGCGAGAGCCTCAAGGGCTCCGACGCGCTGCATCGCCGGCATAGCATGGATGAAGGGGATTGCGGCGATAGTGGCTAGAAGAGCCTTCCCGGTATCCAGTAGATGCATCGTGGACGACAGGGCGTGTTTTGGCCACAGGAGGTGATCCTTTTCTGCTGCTTGTTCGAAGGCTAGAGGGGGTATATTACGGTGATGTGCCCATACAAGCAGGTGATCTTAGAACGGCGGTATTCACCAGGATAGGGAGAAGGATGGTGCTGATGAGAACGGGCACATGGGTTGATCGAACCTGGGCTGCTTCGTGGGCTTGTTCCCTGGATTTTTCAGCATTTGTGCTTCCATGGGCGCCTTCTGCGTCGTTCGGGTGTCACCGAGAAATAAGGTAGCTGCTCAGTCGGCCAAATCCCACATACGCCTTCCCGTTGTATGTTCATGATATATGTCGCCAGTACCCGACATCCAGGCAATCTTTATCTGTATTGCTTGCAGCATGATATGACCTATGGCCACATACCGGCCGTAGCCAGACTTGCTCGTATGAGCGATTGGGCTACCAAGCAGGCAGGATGGGAGATGGATCATTGCGGGTGAATGCTACTGGCTTTGGCGTACATCCTCCTGCCATCCATCCGAGACCCTAATCTTGGACTCTAGGAACACGATTCCACCGAGAAGCCCAAAGTCTCAAATACCCATCTCCTAAACGCGTGGAAAACGTCACCATCGTTACCAATAAATGGTCTCAAATTTCATTAATCCAAGCCCACACTCATGCGGGCTCAGGTCGCACACGACGGTGACCACACGCAGATACCGTTACCATGCCGTGGAATCGTCGTCGTCTGCTTCGATGCATCTCTGTTTTCGGAGGATCGGAGCTTGCGGAACGTTGAGACAGGCTGGTATGAATGGCGCGCACAACCTTGAAACCCAAAACTGGTGGCACTTCTTTTTATCTTCTCATGCGTTCCCAATTAGCCGACATATGTATCCCTTTGATACCTAGCGAGCCATTTTAGCATGTTGATCGTTATATATGTAAATAGGTCGTCACAACAAGAAAAATGTGGCCAGCCGGGGCGGTGAGCAACCTCGTATACTGCTCAGGCTCCATTGTCGGATATGTGAGCCCCCAGACACTAGCTCGGCAAATCAGTATTCCGATGTCGTAGCGGTAAGTCGCTGCCAATTTTTGAGGCGGCTGGGTGTGGCAGCGGGCGGGAGAAACCAAATGGCAACGTTTCACATCTTTTGGTGTGTTGTTGAACTAGTGCAACTTCTCCGACATAGCCCGGCAATGGCCCTAAACGCTTCGGCACCTTACTTGCGGTCACATGTCTCTGCAAAGATCCGTGATAGATGGCTGACATTGGATGCCGGTGGGAACTGAAGTTTGGAGCCGTAGCTGCCGCAAAACCTCTTCATTTCCGAGTACCTTGGTATTCAGGCAGCAGAAAACAAACATTTGATTCCTGCCCCATTTACGTACAACAGAAAGCAACAGCGGCACCCCCCTCGAATGCCTGGTACTCTATTGAGCCTATGCGAGTGGGTATGAAGTTTGTGGAAGGGACTCCAGATGCTTCCGGTGATGTTCGTTGGCCTGTATAAAGGATCGAGGGGACTTTGGTTATCATGTCGCTCCAGACCTGGGAGCGCCAGGATGGTTCGCAAGGGCGGGACCTACAAATGGCAGCCCGCAGTAGCCACAGGCGCAAATCTCTGGCTTGTCCGTGTTGATGAATATCCTCGGGTGGCCAGCTGGGCCGCCGCCGCCATCACATGCGACTACACGATCGTGCGTCCACCGGACAGGCTGCTTGTGCACCAGCTCCATGGCAGAGTAGGGTTGGGGCTGTGAGGATCAACGGACGGGTCAGCGAGCGTGTCCAAGAGCGATCCTAGCTGCCCACCCATAGCAGCAACGTGCCCCTCCTCTCGACTATACTCCAAGCCATACACATGATTGTGCCTTCTAGATTCGACGTATTGCAGCCCCGCAATTTCCCAGTCCGTCGATGGTGGTACTGACCTGAAGGCTGAAGTCTGTCTGCTCGAAGCGCGGCCCTGTCATGGCCTTGGAGCGCGGCTTCTGGCTCCGAGCCCAGACATCAGTGCGGTTCGGGGCCTGGAGGACCTCGGTCGGCTGCGCGGACGGATCGGTGGTCTGGGGCGCGGTCTCCTTGGGCGTTGCGACGGCGGCGGCCGAGTCCAATTGCCGGGCCGACACGGCAAAGCCACGAGCCGAAAGGCGAGCCCGGCTCGCGAGCTGCCGTGCTGCCCGAAGACTCGTTCCGGACATCATCTTTGGGGAAGGGGAGGTCTGGATTGCGGTTTCTGGTGACGAGCTCGAGGTGGTATTTGAATCAGCCTGCTGAACGAGGCCAATCGATGCGGCGGCGGCGGGCACGTCGTTGGTGCCGCGAAAGAGTGGGCCCCCTCAAAGATGGTGGGTTAATTGGTGGCCGTGTGATTGGCTAGATTAATTTTTGCGAGATCAGGCTGGCAAGGAACCAAGCATGGCTGCGTCGGGCCGTAATTGTCATCGGCCAGCAAACAAGGAGGGAGAAAAAACAAGCGAACGAAGAGCTGCTACATGAGCAACTCTCACACTCTACCAACCCTTTACGACCAGCAACTCCAGCGACTTCCTGCCAACCTCCTCAACTACCCTCGACCAGCCATTTACCGGCCAAACCCGCGCGGCGCACTTGGAACGGCAGATTTCCAGAACCACGATCGTTTGCGAATCGCCGCTACTGCCCGAGACCACGCGTCGGCCACTCCACAGCAGCGCAGCCCCCGCGCTGGACTTGTCGTGACGCCCACTTGTCCCCCTGCTAGTGGCACTCGTCTGGAGCAAAACGCGCATTGTGCAAGGCGCTGCAGAGTCACTGGACGACAAGATGGCGTCCAAGACAGTATCCTCGCGGCTGCTGACGATGAAGTTCATGCAGAGGGGCATAGCGGCCTCGTCTGCCAACTCGTCGCTGACAACGCCGCGCTCCGAAGACAAGCACGGCTCCAAGCGGCGCAAGGTCTCGCAAGATACCACTGACTGCAGTTCCTCAGGGCCCAAAATCGACGGGGCAGCCGTCCAGGCCGCCCTTGATGAGGAGGAGAGGAAGCGTCGGGCAGCTATTGCCAAACAGGCCGAAGACTTGGGCGACACCCGCTGGGTTCTCGACTTCCCCGCCCCGTCCCCTCGGTCGTCTGACAGGATGCCACAGACGCCATTAAACATCGTGCAGATTGGCTTCGCTCAGATTGATTCGGCTGACAGCGCCGCCACTGGAGGCCAGATGCGGCGCTTCAATATGAAGAAAGCAAGCAAAGCTCAAGTATGTCCTCTCTCTTTCTCACCCTTCCCCAGTACAATCCTGAGATGGCACGTGTTAGCTGACCTGCCGCTTTTAGGAGGAGGATGCGGAGACGGGATCTGAGAGCGATGACTCTGGGTCGTCAGATGAGGAGCCAAGGCACTCGAAACCAAAGAGTTCCGCAGGCAGCCCCGAAAGTCGTGGGAGACAGCTCTCCAACGACTCCTCCAAGAGGAAACGTACAAAATCGGAGACCTCTGGCAGGATGAGTACCGAGAGGGCCAAGGCACAGCAGCTCTCTGCCAAGCGACGTAAGAAGGATGTGAAGCTGAACATGCCAAAGTCGATATCGTCCGCGGGCTCGTTCAAAGCACCTTCTCGACCAGGCAGAGAACATCGTTGATACGAGCGTTCCCCTGCTGGTTGTTTGTGCTGGTGAATTATCAACCCATCCACCTGGATGTGAAGGCCGAATGCATTCTGCGTAGCCTCTCAACTTTTACCGTCCTTTAGGCAAGCTCCTTGGTCTTGTCGCCCAAGCGATAATCGACACAGCTCGGTCCTAGCGTTGCTGGACCGAAACAGAGGAAACTGTGGCCATGGGATAGGTGGTGCCAGTACATTGCACATACCAACATCTCTCATTTGGCATGTTTCTCCTAGACATCTACGTTGCTCTCTTTACCGTCCCTGCCCTGCGTCTGACAGGTCCAGGTCGAGTTCGTGGCAATGAAACGCTGTTTTAGCTACTATCTCCATCACCTGAATTTAATCATTCTCATTTTCCTTTCAGGCTTTCGTAGCTCTTGCCATTGATATATATATATATATCAGTCTTAACATCTTGACGGCGGTTTCGAATCTCCTTCCTGTGATTCCCTAGCATGGCTGTAGTTGGACGGGTTCTTGCATCGGTCCGAAAGCTTCCGTAATCACTAAGATTTTTTATGGAGGGGATTACTGGCCCTAGGAACACCAGGGCAGAACGAATTCAATAAATCAGGTCGTATGTATCAGGTAATCATGAAGGAGGCGCCATTTGAACCCCGAATCGAACGCCCTACGAGGGAGTCTTGGACAGTACCCGTGTCTACTTGGGTTAGTGACCTATTCTCGGGGATAAAAATAGTGCTACTGCTAAAAATGGCCATTCAACAGCATGTTGATTGTCAGCACCCAGTGCCAGCGACCCAGCCCTGATATCCCAAAAGGCATCACGTCAACGGGAACATCTAGGCTTCGTTTCTCCCGGCCATCCTAGCCATCCCTGACCCAGTGGAGTGTGTATCAGGCATTGACATGACGAAGTCGACAGCCCACCCTAGTGTCCTCCATGCCGTGCATGCTCGAAGGCAGGATTACATTGGAGTTTAGAGTCAGGGCAAGCTGGCCCCCCAGCATCCTTCCGTACCCTTACGGCTTTCTCACCGAACCGTGCCACTGCTTATACCCGGCATGCCAAGATAGCCACCGCCTGGGCTGAATCGTGAAGCCAGCAGCGGGCGACCGCATGCTTGCGGCCGTGACATGGCCAGTTGCCACCCTCCTTTGTTCTCGACCCACATTGTCAGAAGATACCCGGGTGACGGCTTGCTGCATGACGGGGAGAAGGCCTTTCACGGCCGACCTGGCTCCGGGGGCTAAACGTGCTCGGCGACCGACGCATTTGGCACAGGGCGACGCCGTCCTGCATCGTGCAACGTGCTGTCCGGGACGTGGACCACTAGTGGTCCAGAACGTGGTCGACATGATCACCAGCCTGCCCATCTTCCCGGGAGGCCTGTATGAGCCTAGTGGTTGTCACATATGAGGAGAATTTCGCCACGCCGTATTGGTGCGGGAGGAGCCGCCCATGAATATACGACCAGGGTGGTCAGGCAGGCAGGCAGGCCCCCCTAGATTTCTCCGAAAAGAAAATATGCATGTCCTTAGGGCAGCGTGAGGAAGCCGGTTAAGGCAAGACGTGCCCGATGCTCGATGGAAACGACACGGGGTCTAGCATGGAGCGAGGCCTCGTTAAGCCTAACTCGGTAGGTACTCATTGTGCTCCGGCCACCTAAGGCGACGCTGCAGACGGTTTACACCTAGATAGTAGTTAGTGCATCTGCGGATGCAGTTCAGTTAGCTCTTGACGCGAACACCTGTAATGTTTGCGCACCTGCAGCACTGGGAGCACTTAGGCCAAGTTTGTCCTCTAGCTAAAAAGGCTGCACATGCCTAGATGTTACTAATACCTATAGGATTGGGTCTTCAGAGGGTGACTTTCCTGGAGGGGCAAAGTAGCGGTATCGTCTGAAGAACCCAATACATCGTGCGTACGTGTGCATGTACCAGGGTCTTCTGGGATGTTGGCCAGGCTGGTGGACCGTATTCTGCCATCTCACGCTCTTGTCCGCAAGAGGTTGACGATTATTGGCCGTCTGGGGAAGGTTATGGTGTTGTTCCCCTGGGCTTGCCCCGTCGTTGACATTTCTTGGCACCTGGAGCTGGGCTTGATTCGGTTCAGTGGCTCCTCAGCGGACGCTATTATAGGCGCGCCTTGCGACTCCTCCTCTCCTGGCTGCGCGCAGAGGCCCAAACTGCATGGGCGCGGGCTTGTTCGATGCCCACTCTGGCTAGAGTGCTTGCTAGACTAACCACCAACCTAACCTAGGCCGATGGACTAAGGCAGGATGTAGTCATAGACACCCGGAGTTTGCAGGACGCGTGGAAGTTGCACAACCACCTATCTAGGTCAGCACCCAGGAGTGTGCCTAAGGTATGGAGCAAGCGCAGGATCTTGACTACCATTGGGTGGGCCTGCTCCCCCGAAGAGCTTATTTTGAGCCACTCAGGACCAAAATTTCGACAACAAACAACAGCTGTCGATGAGACGAGTCAGTAGAACATTCAAGTTGAGCACTTGAGTTTTGGAGTGAGGTCGTGTAGCGAGGATGGAAGTTGTAGCCGGGCCGGGCCAAGCCTCGGATGTGCGGTTTGCCTAACCCGGATACCCAGTATCCAGCATCCATCCACTAGTGTATATCAATAAGGACGAGGTAGTCCAACTAGGCAACCCTCGAGTCTGGCGTTGGGTGATGGTCTCCCGTCTGGGAACTGCATGGGATCTATTGGCACGATCGAGAAAACATGGACCGAGGCCCGGGCATCGCGCCAGGAGCCAAGTCCGGAGGGGGGGAGGGAGAAGAGGGTTAGTGAGGTGAATGAACCGCCACTTACCGCCGCCGCCGCACCAGGCGTGTCAGTCCTGAGCAGCCCACCGTTTTATTCACGGCAGCTTCGTAGAGGGGTGACAGCAGTGCATTTTCCGACTCGCTTTGGTCGCTAGCTCATCACGCTCCTTAGCGCGACCGGTGTCCCCACAACTACACCGTGGGCTCAATTGCGCGCTACTGGCCCTCAATCAAAGATTGACTTGAGGCCTTGTCACAGGCCTGGGCTGAGGGGGATTGATGCCCTGCCCACTGAGTACAGTACCGGACTACCAGGAAGGAACCACCCAGCACGCCAGCGGCCAGCAGGGCATGAACCCACCACGCTCACACACCAGCAGCGGCGGCCAGCAAGCACAAGGGGCCAAGTCGGCTTCCATGTTGTCCCCTGCCGCTAACACGAGGTTGCGCCTCTCTCGGTGCGACCAACACGGTACACGGTACACAGCACGGGCGGTCTGGGGCGTTTGTGCTGGCGGTTGGCCACATAGCTTCATGTCCAGGATATATGTGGATAGGACGCCCACCTGCATCATTGCGCTGGAGCTGGGGCCCACCCCGCAGCACAGTCGCCCCCTCCCCACCGGTCCAGACCTAAAGGCATCAGCATACCCCGACATCACCTGGCCCCCAGGTCTTGCCCGTCCTTGCCACCCCTCCTTCTCTCCCTTCTGCGAGGTTCATAGAGCATCGCGTTTCGGGTCGCCCACCCAGTAAACCGCGCGCGCGCCTTACTGCCATCATGCGCTTCGCCAGCCACCTGCCACGGCATGCCGACATGAAGGCTCCGGCATCGGGCTTGGACCCCAGGCTCCGGCCCGTCGAGAGGGTCACGGACAGCCTCGAGGTCCCGTCGCTGGACAACCGGACATACCGCGTCATCCGGCTCGAGAACAAGCTTGAGGTTCTGCTCGTCCACGATCCCGACACGGATAAGGCCAGCGCCGCCATGGACGTCAACGTGGGCAACTTTAGCGACGAGGATGACATGCCGGGCATGGCCCACGCTGTCGAGCATGTGCGTTTTGGTCCCGAGCTTGCCGACGCCCGCCCGCCGCCGCCGCCGCCGCCGCCGAGGCCACAAGCGTCCGACGGCGGCGCGCGCTGTGGTTACCTGCCCTTTCCCCCTCTCTATTTTGCTATCGTATACGCCAATTTTTTTTAAGTTTTTTTAAGTTTTTTTTACATGTGTTGGCGCGTGCGCTTATACGTGTGCATCCACGTTTTCTCACCGTATGCTGGCTAACAACTGTGCTCCTCTCCCCGCCGAACGTACTCCCAGCTTTTGTTCATGGGGACCAAGAAGTATCCCGTGGAAAATGCCTACTCTCAGTATCTCTCGGCGCATTCGGGGAGCTCAAATGCCTACACTGGCGCCACATCGACCAACTACTTCTTCGACGTGGCTGGCAAGCCCAGCGATGACGGCGATGCATCAGACACAAACCCATCGCCATTACACGGTGCTTTAGATCGCTTCGCCCAGTTCTTCATCGAGCCCCTATTTCTCGCCTCCACCCTGGACCGCGAGCTCCGTGCTGTTGATAGGTAAGCTACACATGAAGCGTGTTGATCTCTGAGGTAAATTCTCTGAGGCTCCTACTAATATATTTATTTATCCATAGCGAGAACAAAAAGAACCTCCAGAACGACCAATGGCGCTTCCACCAGCTCGAGAAATCGCTGTCCAATCCCAAGCACCCATACCGCCACTTCTCGACAGGTAATCTCGATGTACTCAAGATCCAGCCCGAGTCTCGCGGCATAAACGTCCGGGACAAGTTCATTGAGTTCTACAATAAGCACTACTCGGCGAACCTCATGAAGCTTGTTGTTCTCGGCAGGGAGCCGCTCGATGTGCTGGAGAAATGGGTCGCGGATCTGTTCTCGGGCATTCCCAACAAGGATCTGCCGCCGGCGCGGTGGGAGGACGAGGTACCCTTCGGCCCCGAGCAGCTTGGTATGCAATGTTTCACAAAGCCCGTCATGGAAACTCGGGAGCTCAACTTGTTCTTCCCCTTTTTCGACGAGGAACCCCTCTACGAATCGCAGCCGAGTCGCTACATCAGCCACCTGATCGGGCACGAGGGCCCCGGAAGTATCATGTCGTACATCAAATCCAAGGGCTGGGCAAACAGTCTCACCGCCGGCCCGTACTCCGTGTGCCCGGGGTCTCCCAGTATCTTTGACTGCCAGATCCGACTCACTGAAGAGGTAAGTTCCCATTTTGTGCTATTCATTCATCTGTCCCCAAAATTTGTGCAATTTCGACTTTGCCTCCACCTTTGTGAGTTCGCTCAGCTGACCGCGGGAAACCATCGTCTCGAAACAGGGCTTGCAGAACTACAAGCAGGTCGTAAAGGTGTTCTTCCAGTACGTGTCGCTATTGCGGGAGACACCTCCACACCAATGGATATTCGAGGAGCAGAAGGGACTGGCGGATGTCGACTTCAAATTCAAGCAGAAGACGCCGGCAAGCAGATTCACGAGCAAGATCAGCTCCGTCATGCAAAAGCCGCTACCTCGCGAATGGCTTCTCAGTGGACACAGCCGCCTGCGCAAGTTTGATCCCGAGCTGATAAAGCAGGGTATCGACCGCATTCGCCCCGACAACTTCCGCATGACGCTAGTGTCGCGTGACTTCCCAGGAGACTGGGACAGGAAGGAGAAGTGGTACGGGACCGAGTACAAGTACGAGAGGATCCCCGACGACTTTATGAACGAGATCAAGCAGGCCGCCTCCATCCCGTCCGACCAGAGGATCAGCAGGCTGCACCTCCCGCACAGAAATCAGTTCATCCCTACGAAGCTCGAGGTGGAGAAGAAGGAGGTGGACCCCAAGGACCGGGCTATCGCACCTCGCATCATCCGTAAGGACGATCTCCTGTTGGGATGGCACAAGAAAGATGATACTTTCTGGGTACCCAAGGCAAATCTGATTGTGAGCTGCAAAAGCCCCATCATCTTCGCGACGGCCCAGAACTCGGTCAAGGCGAGGCTCTACACAGATCTTGTTAGGGACGCTCTGGAAGAGTACTCGTACGATGCCGAGCTGGCTGGGTTGCAATACAGCGTGTCCATGGACACGCGAGGATTGTCCATCGAGGTGTCCGGCTACAACGACAAGCTGCCCGTGCTGCTGGAGCAGGTCCTGGTCACAATGCGCGACTTGGAGATCAAAGAGGACAGGTTTGAGATCGTCAAGGAGCGCCTCAGCAGGGCCTACCGCAATTGGGCATTCCAACAGCCTTACCACCAACTTAGCGACTATACGGGCTGGCTGACGTCGGAGAACGATTTTGTGGTGGAGGAGCTCGTCGCAGAACTGCCCACCACCGATGTCAGGGCGACGCAAGCGTTCAAGCAGGAGCTCCTCTCGCAGATGCACATGGAGGTCTATGTGCATGGGAATTTCTACAAGGAGGACGTGCTGAGGTTGACGGACCTGATCGAAACCACGCTCAAGCCCCGTGTCTTGCCCAGGGCGCAGTGGCCGATTCTGCGGTCTCTCATCTATCCCCCGGGCTCCAACTACAGCTTTGAGAAGATGCTCAAGGACCCGCAAAACGTCAATCACGCCATCGAATATCTGCTCTATGTTGGTGATAAGGCAGACCGCGGCATCCGGGCCAAAACTTTGCTGCTAGACCAGATCACCCAAGAGCCGGCATTTGACCAGCTCCGCACCAAGGAGCAGCTGGGCTATGTCGTCTTTTCGGGTGTCAGGGGCAGTGCGACCACGTACAGCTTTAGGTTTATTATCCAGAGCGAAAAGACCCCCCGCTTCCTTGAGTCTCGCATTGAAGCCTTCTTGACCTCGTTCCGAAAGGTGTTGGAGGACATGAGCGATGCCGACTTTGAGAGCCAGAAACGGAGCCTGGTAAACAAGCGACTCGAAAAGCTCAAGAACCTGGACCAGGAAACCTCCCGGCACTGGAACCAGATTCACACCCAGTACTATGATTTTGACTTTGGTAAGCTTCACCTCTACTGAGTTGACAGACTCCTCTCGGGTGTGCGTTTCGTATCGTCCAAAGCTAACCAACGGCTCCTCGGTCCTCCACGCAGCCCAGGAAGACGCCGCAGCGATAAGGCAGCTGTCCAAAGCAGATCTGGTTGAGTTTTTCCAACACTACATCGACCCGACTTCGAAATTCAGGGCCAAGCTCGTGGTGTACCTGGTTGCGCAGGCAAAGAGTGACGTATCTACGGGACAGATCTCAGAGCTGGTCAAGACGCTCAGTCTAGACGCGGAGCTTTCCAGGCAGGCAGCTACGGACCTTCAGGCGAGGTTAAGTGCGGCGCATCACGACCACGCCAAGGAGGTGGAGGAGCTCAAGAGTTACCTCTTGAAAGATCTGGGGGTGGCAGAGGACAAGATTGCGGCGGCGACGGCGGCGTGGGAGAAGCTCTCAAAGGAGCACCGCACGAACGGGGTGTCGGAAGACGAGGGTGACTGCGAGATCTCGTTCAACGGCACAACGGCAGTCGCTATTGACGACGTGCGCGGCTTGAAGTGCCGGCTGCTTACTACTGGCGGCGCTTCACCTGTGCGGGACCTAAGCGAATATGAGGACTTCGACCCGAAGCTGTGAGGTAGCTGGCCACCGCCGATAATACCATGTAACAAGGCCACCCGGAGGATTGCCAACACCCGGAAACGGAGCGGAGGCCCGCGTTGAGGCCTAGGTCCCACCTTGACATGACCAGTGTTGGACGTTTAGATTCTAGGGCCCCTCCCGCGTAGGGTTGACGGGCAGCTAGCCCTACCAGACTTCCGGACACACGTTGACACCCCGGCGCCCTGATATCTACCCATGTAGGCACGAACCTTGCTCAAGCAAACTGGGGGCAGCCGGAGATGACGATGAAGCTAGTTCTCTGACTGGCATTTGGTTGGCCAAGTGGAGTGCGTGTGTGTGTGGCGTGGCCACCCATGTACTGAGCCTGACTCCTATCCATGTTCTCCACTGGTAGCGGGTGAAGAATATCTAACTCAACTATGTGAGAAGCCGAGTCTGTAGTTGCCTCAAGGCACAGCATCGATATCTATATCTGCCTACCGACGATCGACCACATGCCTCGAGTTGCCTTTAGAGAGTGTTCAAGGTTGTGTTCCGTCTTGTTGGAAACAACTATTGGCATCCGCATTATCCGACCGTGTAGATGTCTTGTATTTCGTATTTACTTTCATACCATGCTTCCATGCCTGGAAGTTTACCTTCTAAAGCGTAAACTTTTTATTTTGGTTTGGGAGGTGATTTGGTCCCTTCGTCTGCTCGTAACTACACATTATGGCGTCTCTTACAGTGTGCACATGCATTCGTTACTGTATCGTCGGGGCTTTCTTGGGGGGTTTTTTTTTCCTTGTCTTTGTTCCCACATCAGCCCCTCTTGCAGTGACAAAGCCCACATACCAGTCAACCCGCCCTCACCCGAGTCAACTTTGGAACTAGCATTGGAAGGGCCCCACCTCGACCGAGCCAGTGGATGGAGGGTTGGTTCTCCGCTGGTATGGGCTCAACTTGGCTTTTGGCCAGCTAGCTGACTGGTACCCCCTTAGGTAAGTAGCAATCATGTGTCTTCCCGCTCAACGCATGCCTGCCACGTAGGGAGGTGTCCAGACGATGCATAGTGGAGTGTCTAGTACCTACCTGTATGAAGTTAAGTGATATTTGGGTACCTTGGTATTTTGGCTATTCCACGCAGTTGATATTTCAGTTGCTGGGTGCTATCGTCTGCGTGGTAGGTGGACTTGTGTCCGCCCGCACGCACCAGCAGGTTTCCTGTTATCTAGGTGGACAGAAACGGGCTGCGAGTCGCACAGTGCGAGTGACGCCGGGTGGTCGTGCGTCTCAGTGCCTGCCCTCCCGCTTGACAACGCACGATTGACCATGCCTGCCCTCCTCTGAATACCGAATCTCGCGTTGCAGGTACCAACGAACAACTTTTTTTTCTTTTTCGGACATGTCCCCAGAACCTCGATTCGGGCACCCAACTGTCTCCCCCATCCTATCGGCAGCCGGAGAACCAACCAGACCCTCGCCCAGTACCGGAGGTTTGTTCAACATTTCCACCCCTCGCTGGAACGGCACCTGAGATACCGCCGTCAGGGCTCCCTGCCCGCTCTCGGTACTGCAGCGGAGTTCTGAGGGACCCTGCGCAGTGAGAAATCGGTGGGTGTTGGCCGCCCATTCGCATGATTCTGCCGCCTGAAGCAACAACAAGAGCATTGACGGCAGCACTGAGGAGCTGCCGCGCCCGCTCCCGCCCGGCTCAGTCAGGCTCATCTTTTACCCTCCCGCCAGATGCTCCTTGTCTCTCTCTAGGTCGACCACCTCGCGCCAGCTGCCTCCATCATAGCCCCGGGATTGCAGCACGAGACGCATTTTTTGGCCGCCTGATTCTGCCGCCGCCGCCCCCAACCGCCGCCCGCCCCTCCCAATTGCCTAGGTGGGCTCTCGACGGTCTCACAGCCCCAACTCCCCCATTGCCCGCTCAGAGCTGCACGGGCAGCTCGCAGTCACCACGTCTTCTTCAAAGAAACGCAAGGTTTCTCGCCGATCCCCACGCAACAGCAGAGCCCAGGACCATTCCTCCCTGGAGACGCTCCTGCCCACGACCGAAGAAGACCTCGATCCCAGCTTCTCCTTCACCACCTCCGCCTCCGGGTCCGGCCTGACCACCCCGACCTACGTTCGCGCCGACTCCGTCCCCGCTGCGTCTGGTCTGCCGCCACGCCTGCAGTCTCTCTATAGCTCACACCAGTCGTCCGACTACGCTTCATCTGCCGCGAGCTCGCCCTGCGCCGCCTCGGCCGACCTTTCGCTGGATAACGATCGCGCCGAGGACCTGCCCCAGGACGGCCTCCACCCCCCACCGTCTGGCTCTCGCGCCGCGAGGAGTAACTCCCCCCTGGCCTCCAACCCTCAGCACCGCATGATCATGGGCGGCGCCGCGGACACTCCACAGCGGTCGTCATCGCCTCTCAAGCGCAGGGCCTCGAGCATGGACAAGGAGATGGACTCGGACGCGAAAGAGGATGTGGATATGATCAACCCCCCGCCACTCGAAGAGTCGGAGGAGGCCGACTCGCTTGCCAGTCCACCCCGGCAGGATGTTGCAGGTGCAGCCGGTGTGATATCACATGCTCCCAATCCTGAATTGGATTCTAAGCTCTCCGCCTCTGGGTGCCCGGAAGTGTCGGCCCCGACCGAGGGCGGCGTGTCTGACCTTGGAGTCAATACCTGTACGTGGAGCGATACCCCGTCGAAAACATCGCGACGTCCAGTCCCCGATATGTATCGGTCTCGCTAACAGTTGGCATCTGGCTTGATGCACGCAGACCCTCCTCCGCTCCCCGAACAGATAAAGACGATCGAGACATTGTTGAAGGCCTTCGGCGAGACCCCATTGCAGGAGGGCGACACAGCTTTCTTGGTGTCGCGGCAGTGGCTCGAGAAAGCCCAGGCCTTCGGTGACGACTCGAAGCACGCCCCGGCGAAGGCTTCCGAGGTGTCTCTAGGCCCGGTCGACAACTCGGACATCGTCCAGGAAATCTTGAAGGACGTCGAAGACAAAGACTTTGTTCGCTTGAAACCCGGCATAGGCCTCGAGCATTATCAACTGTTCTCTCAGGATGCCTGGGATCTAGTCATCTCATGGTATGGGCTCGCCGATGGACAGTTGCCTATCCAAAGGTTTGCTCACGACACGGCCCCGGAGGGAAGCATCCCACATGTTCAGTTCGAGATACACCCGCCCATTTTCGCCATCCATCGGCTGTGGTCACCCACTAGTCCCATCCCTATCGATCAGAAGCTGAAGGCGACGAACCCGCCACCGGCCACTCTCGCCTGTAGCTCCTCCTGCAGGACTCAAGCATTTCTGAAAAAGATAAAACGGCTAGCTGGGGTTGACATGGAACGGAAAGTGAGGCTATGGAGAGTCACACGCGAGCCGCTGGCCCCCGCCTCCACGCCACCATCCTCTTCGGCCATGCAGATCACGCCAGCAACGCCGCCTGAATCCCCCAACAACACTCCCGATGAGCGGGATCCTTGGGACTACCTCTTGGTTGAAGCGTCTCGACTGATGGCGCTCACCAAGAATGTTGAGCGAGAGGAGCTGGAAATCAAGGACACCACGAACGACCCAAACTACAATGGCAGATCCACACTCGCCTTCTTTTCCTTGCATGCCAATGACACTCTTGTGCTCGACGAGAACATCGAGGGGCACATGTTTATCTCGGTCTACAAGGGAACTGGGGTTGCCCCTAAGGAGAAAGCGATCGCAACGAGGGGCAGTTCGTCGTGCCTCGCAGTAACGACACGAGCGACGGCAAGTGGTCGGAGCAGCCCCGCGCCCATAGGGCCAACCACGCGTGGCCGAGCCAAACTGAAGTCGGGTCGAACTACAGGGTGCGTCGGCCTGAGCAACCTCGGGAACACGTGCTACATGAATTCGGCCTTGCAGTGCGTACGAAGCGTTGAAGAGCTCACAAAGTATTTCTTGGTCGGCGAGGCCGAGAAGGAGATCAACACGGACAACCCGCTCGCCCACAATGGAGACGTCGCCATGGTCTACTATTCACTCTTGAAGGAAATGTACAAGGACTCCGCGTCCGCGTCCTTCTCCCCCAGGCAGTTCAAAAATGTAATCGGGCGGTATGCGCCCGCCTTCTCTGGATACGGGCAGCAGGATTCCCAGGAGTTCGTCGGGTTCCTTCTTGACGCTCTTCAGGAGGACTTGAGCCGCATCAAGAAGAAGCCTTACATCGAGAAGCCAGACTCGACTGACGATATGATCAACAACCCTGATGCCATCAAGGAGATGGCAGACAAGGTCTGGGACATTACCAAGAAGCGGGACGATTCTGTCATTGCGGATCTCTTTACCGGCATGTACAAGTCGACCCTTGTTTGCCCATTTTGCGACAAGGTCAGCATCACGTTTGATCCCTTCAACAACCTGACGCTTCCACTGCCGCTCCAGAATGTCTGGTCAAAGTCCGTCAAGTACGTGCCATTGAACGACGCCCCGGTCGAGATTAATGTGGAGCTCGACAAGAACAGCAGCATCAATGAGCTCAAGGACTACATTGCCGCCCGCGTCGGCGTGCCGTCGGAGCGTCTGATCGGGGCTGAGGAGTTCAAGGACAAATTCTTCAAGATTTATGAAGATAATAGTAGCGCCTCGGAAGAAATCGCGACAAACGACGTGCCCGTCTTCTTCGAGCTGGAGGCGGCGCCGACAAACGCGGGGTACAAGAGGCCCAAGAAGAAGATCAGATCTATGCTTCAAGTCAACGACGACGAGGAAGACGAAGCGCCAGCCGAGTGGGATGCTCCGGAGGCCGACAGGCTGGTTGTGCCTGTCATCCACAAGTTCGGGACGTACACGAATGGCAGGAAACGCCAAGGAATAACTGCGACGCCGCCGCATTTCATCGTCGTCACGCGGGAAGAGGTAAGTCGTCGGTCGGCCAGGTCAATGAGACCATGGCCCAGACTCATGAAAATCACGGCTCCGGTGGTGTTTTCCCGCATCGCGAGGTATTGACCTGAACTCTTATCGCAACTGCACAGGCTCGCAACGAGGATGCTATCCGTCGCAAGATTCTAGAGAAGGTGGCCTCATTCTCAACATGGCCCCAATTCTCGCACTCTCAAGAAGCGGAGTTCGGAGACAACACCGATCTCGAGATGGTGACCGCGCCAACCTCTGACGCCGATTCGTCCGGCGACTCCAAGGTGATCGCCAAGTCGGTCGAGGGTGAGGAGGATCTGGTCGATGTCAGCACTGCCACGGCTGGCCTGGCGGGAGCCGTTCCTGGTCCCGCAGCTCAGTAAGTTGTGGCCCCGGATGTTTAGGCCCAGCACCATGCTCACAAACCTAAGCAGATCAGTCAAGCCACTAAAGGTGTTCAACACAACGAGGCCCAAGTGGATAGACACCAGCGAGTACCTCGACCCGCAACTGCAGAATCTCTTCAATTTGAGCTACTTCAGCGAATCCGAGTCGGGCGTCCCGACTGGGTGGCAGAGTATCAGCGACAACATACTCCCATCCCTGGCCAGCCGCCTTCCACAGGTCGACGTGGACATGCGAAGCCCTGGCGCGACGGGACCAGAGCACGACAGCAGCTCCGAGGAGTCAAGTCAGCAGGCCATTGTTGACCCCGTGGAAACAGCTGAGCTCACACGCATGGCGGAGGAGTCCAGCGACGAAGAGGACATTCCACCGAACATGGTACGCAACACATTTACCGCCAGTCACAACTTTTTGTGTGATGAGATTCCGAGCGCACTTGTTGCGAATTCGCTCGGCACCCCCGCTCCCAGGGCGCGAGCCTTTGCTAACAGACACTGCGCCGGACAGAATGTTGGTCGACTGCGTGCGGGCCAAAAACCAAAAATGGTGGGTGGCAGGCGGCAAAACCGCAAGTCACAGAAAACCTATGGGAAAAAGGCAGGCAAACGCCGCAGTAAGCACTCGAACAGCAGTGGCAGCAGTGCGGCACCATTCAGCGGCCTCGACAACAGCGCTGGTGGCTCGGGGACAACAGGATCAAATTCCGGTCCCCTGATCCGTTTGGGCGAGGGGATTGTGGTGAACTGGGACGAAGACGCTTGGGAAATGGTTTACGGCAAAGCCAAACTCAACGACGACCGCGGCGAGCCCACCTTCAACGCCATCGAGACCCTCCAGGACCCAGCACTGGCGGAGAGGAAGCGGCTGCGCAACCAACGCCGTAAGAACGGCATCACCCTGGACGACTGCTTAGACGAGTTTGAGAAGCAGGAGATTCTCTCGGAACAGGACATGTGGTACTGTCCTCGCTGCAAGGAACACCGCCGCGCAAAAAAGAAGTTCGATTTGTGGAAGACGCCTGATATTCTCGTGGTGCATCTGAAACGCTTCAGCTCCAGCGGTTGGCGTCGAGACAAGCTCGACATCCTTGTGGACTTTCCCATCGAGGGGCTTGACCTGACTCGCCGTGTCATCGACCGCCAAACCAACAAGCAGGAGATTTACGACCTCATCGCCATTGACGATCACTGGGGAGGGCTCGGCGGCGGCCACTACACGGCATTCGCGAAGAACTTCATCGATAACGAGTGGTACGATTACAATGGTAAGCACAGCCGCGTTGGGAGACCAAAAGCCTACTCCTTCCCCTCCGCCTGGCAGTACCATGCTAACCTGATGGCATGTGCGCAGACTCGTCCGTTACCAAGCAGAAGGACCTCTCGCGCATGGTAACATCATCGGCGTACCTGCTCTTCTATCGGCGGCGCTCAGATATCCCCTTGGGCGGGCCCCGGTTCCAGCGGATCAACGATCTCTTCAACAACGACACCCCCGATGAAGACATGTCGGATTCGGGGGAAGGTCAGCGTCTCGACACAGGCTCCTCCCTGCGTGGGTTGTCGAGCGCCTTGATAGGAGCAGAAGTAACTCACCCGCAAGGAGGTCGTGGCTCTCCTAGTGGGGGGCTAGCCTCTGAGACTCTGGGCCTGAGCGCCGACGATGGCGAGCAGCTGCCGTCATATGAATCGGTTGGTGTGCAATCCTGGCAATCCAGAGATAACGGCGATGGCATCCGTGGAAGTATAGAGGATGAAGGCATCAGCATGGCATCAAATCAATGGGGGCAGCCGGACTGGAACTGGAACCAAATTGAAGGGGGTCCAAAGACCACTGGCTCGGTGGCTTCGGATGAGGCCGAGATGAACTCCTCTAACGGCGGGTTCAGCGACCGCAACACGGGCATGAACTCGCCATTCCACCAGTTTGACGACTACGATGACGCGCCCGCGCCCGAGGGACACGTGTCCGAATATCAGGAGCCTCCTGAGCCCAACTCGGAAGCTCAAGCTAACATGAACGACATCCGCAATCTTTCGTGGAAGAACCAGGGCCTCCACACAATCCCTGGTGATATTGGCGAGGATGCAGCGTCGGTCCGCGCTATCGAAATCCATCTAGACGACGAGAAGAGCGGCAGGGCGGAGTGAGGTCGTGTGACGGACAGGGAGGCGACGAGGTGGCGGCGAAAGATGCATTGTCGGGGTGAACAAAAGCGTGGACATTATACATAGACAACGGAATGATGGCATGGCACCAAAGACGCACGGTAAATAGAGCGGTGGGAATGGTTCATGTCGGATCCAAGCTACGAAGCGAAATTATGCGGACGGACTGCTGTTGAGCGAGCTGGTGCAGCCTCGACTGCTAGCTCAGAACGCGGCGAGGGGCGACGGGATGCCTTGAAGCAGTTGTAGGTAAGAGAAGCTATTCTCGTCCGCTCCATCAGCAAGTGGATGTCTCATCCCGGCGCCAGGGCTGGAGGCAAAGCTGCCTGACTTGACTGCCTAGTCGTCTTTCTTTTGAGGAACAAACCGGCAGAGAAAGATATACAGTCGAACAATTGTGGTGGTTTCTCAGGGATCTTGCGAAAATACCCGCAGTCTATCAAACGTGACATGCATCGTGACGGGCTTCCTGCTGGTGATCGGCAGGGCTGAAACAATGACGGGCTGGTTTCTGATATATCACACCGCCACAGGGACCCCTGAGGCCTGCGTCTGCTGTCATCCTCACAGGAGAGGACAGAGCGGGAAA